TCTAGTGGCTTAAAGGGGGAAAAAAAGATGTATTATTGCTATAAAGTTAAGCTATTGTAATTAAGTCAGTGTGGTATTGATACCAGGACAGACAGAAAGGCCAATGGAACAGAACAGAGTGTCTTAAATTAGATCTGTATAAATATGGACACTTAATACATGATAGAGGTGGTGCTGCAGAGCAGTGGGGAAGGGACAGTCTCTTTGATAAATACATAATTACTCATCTATGTGGAAAAATAATTAGGTTGGACCTCACATCATTCACAAAACTAAGATTCTAGGAAGACTGAAAACATAAACATAAAAGGCAAACTAGACAGGTCTAAAAAAGGATACAAGAAAAAAGCATCATGACCCTTGGTAGGAAAGGATTTCTTAAACAAGACACAGAAAGTGCTAGGTATAAAAGGAAACATTGGGGGCACCTGGGTAGCTCTGTCAGTTAGGTGTCTGACTCTTGATTTCGGCTCAGGTCATGATCTCAGGGTTGTAAGATCGAGCCCTGCATTGGGCTCCACACTGGGCATGGAGCCTGCTTAAGTTTCTCTCCCTCTCCCTCAGTCCCTCTCCACCACACCTCTCTCTCCCTCTCTCTTTATGTCTCCCTCTCTCTCCTTCTCTAAAAAAAAAGGTCAGGGGGACTCTTCCTGTTCTCCACCATGGCGGATCAAGGTGAAAAGGAGAACCCCATGTGGGAACTTTGCATCTGCAAGCTCTGCCTCAACATCTGTGTGGGGGAGAGTGGAGGCAGACTGACGCAGGCAGCCAAGGTGCTGGAGCAGCTCACAGGCCAGACTCCCATGTTCTCCAAAGCTAGATACACAGATCCTTTGGTATCAGGAGAAATGAAAAGATTGCCGTCCACTGCACAGTCCGTGGGGCAAAGGCAGAAGAAATCCTGGAGAAAGGTCTAAAGGTGCGAGAATATGAGTTAAGAAAAAAACTTCTCTGACAGCCACATCCAGAAGAATGAAACCGGACCACTTTCTTACACCATACACAAAATTAGACTCAAAATGGATGAAAGACCTAAATGTGAGACAGGAATCCATCAAAATCCTAGATGAGAACACAGGCAGCAACCTCTGTGACCTCAGCCACAGCAAGTTCTTGCTAGACACATCTCCAAAGGCAAGGGAAACAAAAGCAAAACTGAACTATTGGGATTTCATCAACATAAAAAGCTTTTGCACAGCAAAAGAAACAGTCAACAAAACCAAAAGACAACCAACAGAATGGGAGAAGATATTTGCAAATGACATATCAGATAAAAGGCTAGTATCCAAAATCTATAAGAGAAACTTATCAAACTCAACACCCAAAGAACAAATAATCCAATCAAGAAATGGGCAGAAGACATGAACAGACATTTCTCCAAAGAAGACATCCAAATGGCCAACAGACATATGAAAAAATGCTCAATATCACACAGCATCAGGGAAATACAAATCAAAACCACAATGATAAATCACCTCACACCAGTCAGAATGACTAAAATGAACAACACAGGAAACAACAGTTGTTGGTGAGGATGCAGAGAAAGGGGAACCTTCTTACACTGCTGGTGGGAATGCAAGCTGGTGCAACCACTCTGGAAAACAGTATGGAGGTTCCTCAAAAAGTTGAATAGAGCTACTCTATGACCCAGCAATTGCACTACTAGGTATTTATCTAAAGGATACGAATGTAGTGATTTGAAGGGGCACATGTACCTCAGTGTTTATAGCAGCAATGCCCACAGTAGGCTTTGGTGGAAACTATGGAAAGAGCCCAGATGTCCATCAACAGATGAATAGATAAAGAAGATGTGGTGTATATATTTATACAATGGAATACTACTCAGCCATCAAAAAAAAAATCTTGTATTTGCAATGATGTGGATGGAACTGGAGGGTATTATGCTAAGCAAAATAAGTCAATCAGACAATTATCATATGATCTCACTTATATGTGGAATTTAAGAAACAAAACAGGATCATAGGGGAAGGAGGGAAAAATAAAACAAGATGAAATCAGACAGTGAGACAAACCATAAGAGACTCTTAACTCTAGGAAACAAACTGAGGGTTGCTGAAGGGGAGGGGGTGGGAGGATAGGGTAACTGGGTGATGGGCATTAAGGAGGGCATGCGATGTAATGAGCACTGGGTATTATATAAGACTGATGAATCACTTGTGTTTCTGAAGACTTCAAATGGGGGTTATTCTTTTCCCCACTTGTTAACATGGGAATATCTGAAGCATCTGGTATTTTGAAATACCCCAATATACTATTTTTTTCATAATTATAATCATATACTTGCAGTTTAATGGGGAAATACAACATACAATGTTCAAATGCAAAATGGAACATAAGAGATTCCAAATGAAACAAGAAATCTTTCAGCTTAGAAGAAATCTGTGTTCAGGTCAATCACAGCCTGGATCTTACAATTAGTCCTTTGTGGGGCACAGCATTTGTAAAGACATTGGACATATTGCTAATGACAAACTTCGAGGAATGCCTATCAGTATACTTCTCTAAATATTATTTACAGAAATAAAAAGCAATGAATAAAAAAAAGACTGAAGAATCACTGAACCCTACCTCTGAAACTAATAATATATTATATGTTAATTAATTGAATGTAAATTTTAAAAAGAACTGGAGGCATCTTAAAAACAAATTTTTTAAAAATAAATTAAAAGATAAAGACTGGCAGCATCTTAAATATCCAACAGTGAATGGTTAAATAACTCACTTATTCTTAACATATCTACATCTAAACCTGTAAGTTTAAATATTCAAAAATACATTTTTATGTGGGGGGTGGGGTGGGAGGGATGGGGTGACTGGGTGATAGACACTGGGGAGAGTATGTGCTCTGGTAAGCACTGTGAATTGTGCAAGACTGTTG